TTTCTCTTCTCCCACACTCCCAGCTTAGTCTGCTTTTCAGATATGAGCTGAATCTTCTGCAACTGGTTTTTGTGTTTTACTTGGCTTTTGTATTTTCACTTATTTATTGTGACTATGTGCTCCCCCCTCCCCATTCCCTATCCTCAAGTAGTCCTTCAGGGTAAAGAGCCTCCTGTCAGCACACAGTAGGGCTTCAGTAAACAGTTGTCTATGAATGAGCTTTCTTAAAGGCCAGCGCCTGTATTTTGGCCTTGTCTCGTTGCCAGCAAGCTTCATGTCTCCTAGGATTGCCTCAGGAAGCTCCACAACAGTCCTCCCAACTACTTTGGGAGTATCAGGTTAGGCCTCCTCCTGCCTGTGTGTCGATGGGTAGACAGCAGCTGGAGGAAGTCCTACTCACAGAAGTTTGGTCACGTCCATCCGTCCCAATGAAACACTCCGCTAGCAACTGAAAGTATGATTGCTGTGAGTCAGGCTGTGAGTCACATGAGTTGTCACGGCAACCTATTAACTGTATCACCAAAGCACCTTCCATTAGCTTTGCCAAGAATGGTTCCTGTATTTTCCTGGACTGTGAAAATAATGTGGGTGAGCCCCAAGTTTGAGGTTGCCAAAAGTCTACAATCAAAAAGAACAGCCCCAAGGAAAGGAAGAGAAAATGAGAAAATGTTATTCTAGCTCTTGGGTCTCCTGAGTAAGTGGCAAGAGTTGTGACAAATTGTTAGGTTCATTTTGTCATATCAACAAATGCCTAAGGAGAGGAGGTGGAGGCCGCAACACTAATTTTCTCTAAGTCAAATTCAAAGCCCGGTCTCTGGGGTGAAGAGTGAATATATTTACCTAGTCTACTTTAAATGACTACAATAAGCACTTTTAAAAATGGATGCAAAAGATTACCACACGAAGAAATTTCCTGATTTGTGCTAAAATACTTTGAAAACTAAAATCCCTTTATAAAAAATACAGTGCTTTAATTTTATATTTTGAATATCAGCTTGCTGCAACCAAACATTTGAAAATATACTCAAGCACATTTTCATGGCTATTCGTGTTAAACTGAAAATAGTTTGGAAGGTTCAGAAGCATATTTTATTTTGGGATTTTTTGGGAAGAAAATTCACAATTCAAGTTGGGATTTAACTGACACACGTATTTTCCTGACTGCTTACTACTGAGGAGCTTGCACTTCTCGAACATTTGTAAGTCTCTGAGTGTGAAGTAAAGCAGGCAGGGCAGGCTTGGGCAAGAGGAATAAAGAAAATAAACAAGGATGAGAACAGGAGGAAGTGACAATGGTCCAATGCCTCTGGAAGTAGCCCAGGGACCTACTGGGGATTTTTGGGCTGCACTGGGGTGGTCGTCTGAGAGATTCCCTAAGGCTACAAGTGCATGATGCTAAATTTCCCAGCAGCTGAACACACAGCTAGGATGCTGTCGCATTTTTCACTTCTATATCCGTCCTCTTGTAACATGCTAGTGAATGCAGAATGATCCAACTGAGCTGGATGAAGAAGTCAGCAGTCGATGACCAGTTGTCCTTGGCAAATAACAAAAACCAAGGCAGTGGCTGATTCCAAGAAAAAGATTCATATCCACATGGTACTACTTCAGCAGGAAAGAGACCAGAACAAACTCCTGAAACACCAAAGCAAAGGCAGTCTCCAAAGGGTCCAACCAAATACAAGTGCTGGGTAATCAACCATGAAAATTCAGTTGAACTTCCACACCACAGTGTGAAACTGATCTAATGCATCCTTATCCCACAAGTCAAAAGAACTCTCTTTTATGCACACACCAAAAACCAACAGCACCATTTCCTATCAGCAATCAAAGGACATCACTCGGGTAAGAACTCCTAGACCAATCAGGAATGCCTTTGTGGTAGCAGCCCCAAAACACTGCCTTTTCCCATTGGCCCACTACAGTTAAAAAAACAAACTCTTAAGGTACTCTTCTCAGGAACCCAAGAGAGTCTGATTTCCCCAAAGACAACATTTCTGGACCCCTCTGAAACTAACAATCAAATTTCCTTTCATGAGTATTTCTGGTTGTACTCACTCAACAGACTTTTTTTTTCTTTTTTTAAGACGCAATACCTCTACTTTCCAGATAATAAGGTGGCCTAAAATATTATCAGGTGTCACAACTATTCAGGTTCATTTTGTAGTTCTTGCACCTCTGACTGGCATACCTGTGAGCTGACACTCTAGTCTGATAATATATTCAGCAACTGTACATATTAATTTGTAAATTGAACACTCCCTGTGTGAGGGTAGTTAGGATACTGAGATTGAAATTGCTAATGTGGGGTGACTTCAGCTGTCCATGATCGTGTAGTCAGGTCTTGACCATGGCTTCTAGAACCTTGGCTAAAATGGAAATGTTGAGACCGTACAAAAATGAATTCATATACTTCACTGATAGTGAAACTTCTTGAAGAACAGATGTCAAGATGATTTAAGAGCAGCTGGAATTTAACACCTTGAAACAACTAATAGGCAAGTTAGGGCAGTTCAGTTTTCAAGAAAAATCTGACAGATGCTAAAGAAGTCATTTGGGTGAATGTGATTAGAGAAAGAACTGATTGATTTTCTTCCTTGACACAAGTTGAGATGCTAAGATCAGAAATACCAGGGGCTGCCTGCTGAGCTGGGTGACAAAAACAATCTCCACGTCTAAGTGGCATGGAGGACTTCCACTAACATGCACCTTGGACAACCCAATTTCTCCTTGGCACGTGGAAAGTTTGGTGCCAACAGTCTGTTCAAGTACGAGTCTTTCCAGCTTGTCATGTAGCTAGTTTTTTCTGGGCCCTCTCCCTGAAATCATGAAAGTAAACATCAACCAAAAAAATCCAGCGCGATTTCTCATCTAAATCTGTCAATTACGAAAAGGCAGCTTGAAGTCTTTCTACATTAATGTTATGCTTACTGCCTAAGAATTTTCCTGCTGATTTTCAGAGTTAGAAAGGCACACATTCTACTCTAGCTACCTCGATTTTGTTTCAAAGCAGGTGCAGCTGATAAAATGTTTTAAGCCTTTGATGAAAGGCCCCTCTGGTGAAGTCACCTGTTACCGGAACACCATTTTTTTCCTCACTAACCACCACTCTCATGCTGTCACCTAAATCCTTCCATGGATTCAATTCAACCACAGGTTAATTGTTTCTCCAATAGGCCAATGACATCATTCTCAGGGATGACAATGCCTCAGATGTCTTTGTCATGGACTTTTGCACATTAGCTATTGTCTATGGCCCCTGTCTCATGTTATCTTATTAGCTGAGGTATACTCTTTAGGTCCAATGGAGTTGAACTCGCGGTTTTGTTCACTTCTCTAACAGCCAAGTCATAATGCAAACAGTAGCTTTCTGTGTATCGCCAAGTGGCCAGGAGTCCATACCCCAAACCACCATAAACAGTAGGCACAATCATCAGCCCCTGTTCGGGAGAGGCCCAGGACTGAGCTAGCAGAAAGACTGAATTACTTACCACCTCTAGAGTGGGTCCCTCCAGGCCAGGGACGAGCTCATGGGCAAGGCTGTGCAAGGAAGCGCTCTGTACCATGCCTGCCCTGCGGATATACAGAGGACTTCAGTCTCCTGCACTGTCAATCTCTCAGTCATCATGAGCTCAATTATGCACCGACAACAGCAAGAACAACAACAACAACGACAAAACAACCCCCAAAAAGCTACGGGTCACACACTACCCTAATGGAGGGACAGCCAGCTGGAACTGTGCATTGAGACATGGAGGTGCCATCCTGATCAGGTATCTAGTGTGGGCCAGACCTTTTCATCATTCCTCAAACAAACATTCCATGGATGCCCATGAGAGAGCCATGTGAACAGACAGCAGGACTGGGCCCTAAAAGTCAGGCAACGATTCATCAAATTGGATGTTTTTTTTAAATTGTTTATTTTTTTTCTATTTTTGTTTTCTACAAATACAGATAGACAGACAGACAAACCCAAGAGCAGATTTCAAGAATCAACTGACTCATAAGCTAAACTACTTTGATGCTACACAGATACGTTTTTTTTTTTCTCCCAAATGTTTCACGTGAAACAAAAAATTTCAAAAGTATAATTGGGAAAAATTTGGGGATACATCCTTGTGATCCCTATATTGTGCCATAAGTATCTCTACTGCTTGCCTTAAAAGGATGCCCAAACACATCTCATAGGAAGCACATATCTGTGGTCTAAAATAGTCATCAAGTTCTCATGAGACCATTAATGCAAAGCCTGAATAATATGCTGGTCAAGAACAGTGAAAGTTGGCTGCCTATATCAATGCTGTATTGTTTCATCCTGAGATTCAAGGCACAGTCAGACATCATTGCTCAGCTTGCAAATCACAACACCTTACATTGACGTGAGTTTATAAAGTTATGGTGTAGTTTGAATGAAGGCAATTGATGAAAGTGGTTGAGCTTGAGAAGTGGGATGAATACAGAGAATAAATCCAGCACACATTTCCACATGAGACTACCGATGCCATTTACCAGGGCCTTTGCCGGCCGTGCCCATGGTCGAGCGACAGCACTATCTTCCCAGTCAGTATCTCTGCTCCACAGACACCAGTACAAAACGGCCTCATTTGTGAGCTAGTGGTGAGGAGAAGGAAACCAACGTGTAAAAGAAATCAAAGTGATGTTTTCTAAAAACATACCAACTCTTCTCAGAAGGATCCAACGTTAAGGGTGATCAGTAGGTAATTGATCCTCCTGGCTAGATGTCATGGTTTTTCTAAAGACTCATGGCTTGAAACAATAGAATTCATCAGAACAAGTCTAGCCTCTCTCTTCAACACACACTCAATACAAACAGGTGGAGATGTGCCACTTCCGACCACTACAGGTTGAAAAGTATGACCTCTGTTGACCATGGATCACAGCTGAAACACTAGTTTATACTTGAAGGGTCACAGCAGCCAGACATATGCGAATTCCAACTCTTCAGAAAACTTGGGACAGAAAAAAAATGCATTACTTACATGTATGTGTCTTCTTTGTTACTGAGATACCTGGAAGAGAAGAAATAACAATGGTAAGACGGTATCCTGTGTGTGTTTCTTTGATTGTATGTCCTTCACAGCGGCCTTGGGAGTGCATCTTGTTCAGAGGGGGACAGAAGAGAATGATTAGGTTTAATTCTACATGGCAGTGTCACGACACCCAACCCAAAGGCACACAACCCCGAATCAAAGACACAGCCAGTATCAGAAATCTGTGGTGAAGAGAAACGTCCTGGACGGTAATTAACCAGGGTTAAATAGCATGACAGAAGGCTCTTATTTTTTTTTTTTAAATCTTCACTAGGTGAGATGATCATGTTTATAGGCCAAGTGGGAAAGATTTAAGGCACAAGAGAGTGATGCCAACCTACTCAGACAAGACTGAACCGAGCACTTGGGCAATTAATTCGCTATGGCCATTGATTCAACAGACCTTTAAAGGAAAATGTCCCTTTTGCTCATATGAAGCATAACTTTTAATGGCAAAGAAAATACACTACAAAAGTACCTATGTGTCTGCGCATGTTAAGAAGAGGAAGTACTACTGTTTCTCTGTCAATGGCACCATCATGTATGGAACCCAGGTCCAAAAAGGACTCATGCATCAGCACCTTTTTTGTTTCCAGGATGACTGACAGATGGCAATGACACAAGGAACTAATCAATAGCTGGCACATAAGATGGAATAAAGATGGCGTGAGTGCATGCTTCAAGGCCAACACTACGATTTCCAGTTCAGGAAGACTGCATTTTGAGCGCTTCTTTGATGCATTCTTCTTGGGAGACAGTCTTAATATGAAAGAAGCTCAAAGTAACAAAATTGTTGAACACGTATAGCCTGTGACTAAGAACTGTGGTAAACCTTGACTTTTTTTTTTTTTAAGTCATTAAGAGAACTATTTTTTTTTATCTTTTATTTAATGAATATAAATTTCCAAAGTACGACTCATGGGTTACAATGGCTTCCCCCCCCCCATACCGTCCCTCCCACCCACAACCCTCCCCTTTCCCACTCCCTCTCCCCTTCCATTCACATCAAGATTCATTTTCGATTATCTTAATATACAGAAGATCAGCTTAGTATACATTAAGTAAGGATTTCAACAGTTTGCTCCCACACAGAAACATAAAGTGAGGAATAATAGATGATTTTTTTTTAAATGATGATGAAATCAGATCAGACCTATTGTCATGTTTAATCCCAGTGAGAGTCAAGTTGGGAATTGATAATTTCTTTCTTTCTTTTTTTTTTTTTTTTTTACAGAAGATCAGTTTAGTGTACATTAAGTAAAGATTTCAATCGTTTGCACCCCCATAGAAACACAAAGTGAAATATACTGTTTGAGTACTCGTTATAGCATTAAGCCTCAATGTACAGCACATTAAGGACAGAGATCCTACATGAGGAATAAGTGCACAGTGACTCCTGTTGTTGACTTTACAAATTGACACTCCTGTTTATGGCATCAGTAATCTCCCTATGCACCAGTCATGAGTTTCCAAGGCTATGGAAGCCCCTTGAGTTCTCCGACTCTTATCTTGTTTAGACAAGGTCATAGTCAAAGTGGAGGTTCTCTCCTCCCTTCAGAGAAAGGCACCTCCCTCTTTGAAGACCTGTCATTAAGAGAACTATTTAACCCTTCTCTGGGAAGTAAAAGTTGTTCAGAAATTTGGCACCCACATCAAGCCCGTTGCTTAGTTATGGAACATGTTGTCCAGAAGCGAAATCTGTTAAGAAAACCAATGGTAGACATTAAAAAAAATTAGTTCCAAAGTTGTGCGCCAAGACCAAAATCACACACTTACCACTCCACAATTTTCCAAAGGCCTAATTTTAGGGAAGCTGAAATTACATAGCCCAACTCAAATTCTTTTTTTTTTTTTTTTTTTATTGAGGAAAACTAAACTATTGTTTTTCATCACGTTGGAGTTGGCTTCGCAAAGTGAAGTTAGAAACTCTGCAAAGATCCTTGAAGGCTCTCTCATATGGGAACTACAAAAGTGTTGAAGGATTTTTTGAAATCATTTCTATCACCCGAAGGGAACTTCCACCCAACAGCTACAGTGAGTGAAGTTGAAAATCTGAATACAATTTGTAACTCCAGCTCATGAAACCGGCACCAATAAATTGATAGATTAGTGCTCTTTCAGCATTATGAGAGCTCTGTGTGTCCTTTCCTTAGGAAATGGTGCTTTCTGTAAAATCACTTTGAAGAGAAAGTGCTTAGACTGTCACTCCTGATTATTCAAAAGCTCCACACAATTGGATTTAACACAGCCCCAAACAGACCTATCTATATTCGCTGAGTGTGGAACTCCTTTTCTCCTGACATCCAAAGACCTGATGAAAATACCACTGCTTTTTGGTTTTTCTACTTAAATTTATTACCCAGCGAGATACAGTGTTCTCATCAAATATTTTCATGATGATTACACTGATAATAGATTTTGAAATACTTTCCAGGAAAGCTGCCTGGGCTTGGAGGTCACAGTAGCATGCCTGGATATGAAACTTCTCCTGTGTGTCTCCAGGAGAGAGCTTGCCGCCGGTGACAGCAAAAGCCCTTGGTCCTTCAGTTCTGCTTAATTGCCAATTAATGGCCATGTACAGACCTGGAAGGATATACTTGTCTTGGGATTGCCAGATTTAGCAGATAAAATACAGGATGCCTAGTTCTATCTGAATTTCAGATACCAATTTATCATTTATCTTACTTTCAAATTGAACTGGGCATCCTGTATTTTATCTGAAAGCCTTACCCTACAAAAATGTTATAAATTACATCTACTACATACTTTGAAGCTACTCTAATCAATTAATAAACACACATCTTTATGGAGTAAGGCCTAAAAGACACACCTCTCTCATAAAGACAGTATCTTTTAAAAGGGCATCACAACTCCTAATTATGACAATGCCTTATGTTAATTTTTTGGTGCTTAATAGCTACTAAGAAGACAGAGTTCTATTTTTGCAGACAAAAAGTGAATAAACTAAAACAATGCAGACACAGAAAGACAAACTTAATGGGCCAAACAAATGTACTCTTTATCCTCCTGCCCTGAAAAAAGAACAACTGTAGGCTCGCTAATGGCTGGAGTTTCTCTAGTTCTTCTCTACTGCTGTCTCCAGTCCTTCAGGGTAAATGACCCCAGAGAAGGTCAAACACACGTAGAAAACAGCCTTTGCATTTCAGCAGTGGGGAAACTGAGGCCCAGGGAAGGCTCATTAGCATAATGCAAAGTTTCTCTGTGGAAAGTTAATATTGCATGAGAAGCGTGCCCCTAACACGTCTTTGAAAACCCTGGCATAGATAATGCTTCTCAAAAGGGAAAATGCAAAAAGGATTTTTCCTTGGGGCACACCATTCAGCAGCCATCTTTGTCAATAATTTAAACCTGTGAGGGTTCTGGCCTCCAGCTTTCAAGTGGGACGCCTCATCCACAACTTGCATGAGGGATACACTCAGATACTGATGCACATACGTATAAATCACTGTTCCTCCAACTACAAGAGCATACATTGGGTTGTAGCTCAAGTGTCCTAGAATATTCTAGAACATTAGAGAATATTCTGCCAGGAATCCAGCTGCCTCAATTGTTTCTGCCTTCACTCACAGTGAGCATGTATGCCCTGTTTGCTTCCCAGTACCATTTTCTCGTCTTTAAGTGTTAAGTGGTCTTCCCTTTCCTTTTTCTTCTCGTTTTCTCAGAGGTTGCAAGATTCTTGTCTTTCTCGCCGGGAAGAGAGCTCATTCACGATGAGATCACAGCAGTTACACACTGCCAATCTTTGCCCTTAACTGCAGGCTCCAGAAGAATGTTATCTAGACTTAATGCTACCAGCACCGAACAGGAGCAGTCTGCATCAAGATTTTTCGTAGCATTAAGTTTTCCAGAGACAAATCATGAAGAGCATTAAAGAGGCAAATAGCACTCATTCTACTCAGGAACAGAATAGAAGAAACTTTTCAAAGGCAGCTCTTATGGTAACTGGATTTGGAGCTAAAGTGACCTGAGCTTGCATTCTTAGCCCATCCACTTCCCTGCCTCATGGCTAAGAGACCTTGGACAAGTTGCGTAATGTTTCTGGGCCTGAATTTCTTGGTCTTTAAGTTTATATATTATCACTACATACTTAAAAGACTGTTGTAAAAGTTAAAGTGAAATAAGAATGTGTAAAGAGTTGGCCAACTTGGGAAAATGACACAAATGTTAATTATTTACTTTGGTGAAAAGGATGAACAACCCACCCCTCATTATTTGAACAAAATGGAATTACCCCATACCACTGAAAGTTCTGCCATCGCTACTCATGGTCTCCCTGGGTTTCTCACTGACTCATGGCCCAGCACTCTGGTTTTTAGACAAAAGGTTCAGATTTGATGAAGATGCATGAGATAGAGATTCACGCTGTATTCTAAACCCCAACTCCATTTTGACTCTGGACTCTTCTACAGTGAAGAGAAGACATGTCTGTCCTAGTAAGAGATTGCATTGCCTAAAGGGACTGCAGATCAGCATGGGTGATGGACTTTTATCTCCATTACCAAAGGGTCTCGAACCACGTCCAGCTGTTGTGTGGGTTTTGACTTAATTCCAAGCGACCAGGGAAAGCACCAAGATCCTTCCCGAGTGCTTTTCAAACAGGACACATGGCAGACACAGGGACTCCACAGAGTTGTGGTGAGTGAAGTGGCCGAACGAAGCTTCTAAGCAGAAAACACGCAGACACACAGAGTCCAGAGTGAAGTCAGTGGGAGACATGGGCAAATCATTTAACTTCTCTGGGCCTTGGTTTTCTCATCTGTAGAATGAGGTAGTTGAGCAGCGTGATTGCTTAATTATCCTACTAGTTCATCCATCCTTAGCGGATAGTCCTGCTTCTAAATGGTCAAACCCAACCACTGCTGTCTAAGCAACAGGTTGCCAGATCTATTTCTCACTGAAAAAAAAAAAAATCTAATGCAGCTCATAATCAAAGGTAACCCCCTGAAACTTTTTTTCTT